CTGAAGCACGACTAAATCAGATCTTTGTGTGCTGGATATCGCACCCAACACCATGGCACTGCCTCACTGAATCTGTCGACCTGCCGAATGCAATTAGGAGCAAAACGTAAAGAAGAAATCGTGATTCATCACTGAACCAGACTCTCCTCAGTTTCTAAGGTTCCAGTGCCGGACTCTACGACACCACTGCAAGCGATTGTGCCAATGGAAGTCTCTCAAAACAATCCTTCTTGGTCGAATTCCCACTTCACGCAAGGGATTCCTGACAGTTTGGTCGGAAATTCTTCTCAAACCACAGATGCGTTGTGCACGTCTGTGGCAAGACGATGACGCAAGTGAGCAACCCGGATGTTGCGGTCCTGGGCTTGGGTGGTAAATCTTGGACGGCCGCTTCTCGGGCAATCTTGGGCGAAACTGGTTTGCAGGAAACGATCCCAAAGGGGAGACATGGTGCTCTGATGGACGATGAAATGTCAGACAACTGCAGACTGCGACTACCCAGTTTCAGGGCGGCCCTCAGTTGTTGCATGATGATTTCCTCTTTTTGAGGCAAAAAAAGAATGACAAAATTAACACAACGCCTGCCTGTCGTAGTGGTCGATACCGCATGCTTTTCCGCTTACTTATACACGTGCATTTTGCCCTGCACGTTTTCTTAGAGACGTATGGCGAATATGTCTTCAAATGCTTCCAAAACAAGAGGAAAGGTTAAAATGACAGCGTTTTAACACTGAGGCTGTTTACAATCATGCCAAGATGACGGTTGTGAAAGAAAAAGTCATGTTTTAGCTGCGGCTACATGAGTCCAATCTTTTCAAAATAACCTCCGCGTTTCTTTTTGTGAAGAGTGTATTACAATGGGATAGTTGTAGTAGTATTTCATTGTCATTATTCATAGATTAAACAATCGTCCTCTTTACGGAATACCAATTGCAAAATGAATAAATGGTTAATATTAAAAACAATATACGTGATTCATAAGACGACCATGCATTACAAACTCTTTAATAAACGATTCATACGAAGCCGGACATTAAAACAAATTATACCTGATTCATAAGAGGCTAGACATAAAAAAAACTTGATTTTTTATTGATGAGAAGCTAGATAATAAAATCAACTTAATACATGATTCATAAGACAACCATACATTATAAACAACTTACAAAACAAATCACTAGAAGCCAGATATTGGAAAACGACAGATATTACATAAAAAAGCTAATACATGATTCAAAACACTCCTGACATTAAACACAAACTAAAACCAACATAATGTGACCCATATTTCTCCCTTCAATTCCAGCGAGACGAAGAAGCTTACTTCATGCATTCTGGTGTCTGTTACAAGCGGTTGCGGCTCGGCATCCACCAAAACATCTATCGGCCAAACTGTACAGTCGACATTGACTGATATTGGCCCAACCGTGTGTCGTAAGTATTGCTTTAATGTCGGACATAGGTATGCATATCAGTTGGAGAAAAGGCCAGCATGTTACATATATAGTATACGTTTACTCATACAGCATTGAGGTTTCCCCAAATCAATGGGGAATTGTTTGCATTACGTAACCAGGCGTTCCCTCTAAGTGCTCATGAAGTGTAGAGGGGTTTCCCCTTATTCTCACATTTGTGAACAGCCACAATATTCACTATATTTTTAACATATTATAATTGTGTGTAGGCAACTGCCTTTTTGCCTATATGGCAACTCGGGAGTGTTATAGAATTCAAATTGCCGTCAACTATGACTCTGACATGAATTGTGATGACACCCCACCCCATCACGCTTCATCCCCACGTTATGTATCGTTCGCAACAGGTTGTCTTGTTCACGTAACGTCACCCGGGGACGACTGACATCGTCTCTAATGAGATGATATAGTTTTTAATGAAAATATATTGACACCTTGCTTTTAAACAGCTGTATCTGGAGTCTAATCAGGCATCAACGTGTTCGTGTTCAGTATTATCATTATGCTCATGTTGACGTTGACAAATTAGTTCGATTTTCTGACAATGAGAGTCAACAGGAAACTGAGCCTTGTCTCACACAATACATCAGGTGACGCCTTTGCACGCACAATTGTAATTTAGACTGTGCTCTATTACAGCTCTTACGTCCACATGCCAATGTGAGATCAATTTTAACAAGGCGGACATCAGTGATAGCTCCTCCACGTGCAAGTAAGTTAGATGTATCTTCTCTTGGGGTCTCGACATTTTAACACTTGGAGCAAAGATCAGTGCAGAGTGATTAGTGTACCAATCCTAATCATACACATCGCACTTATATTCTTTTAATATGTAAGTTAGTATATATTAAAGAAAGATGAATTACTACAACATACACTGAACAACAAGTTGCTTGATAACGGTGTTAGAAGCTACACCGAAACGTTGCTCATATTATATTAAAGAAGTTGTATATCCATAGAACTCTCCTTGTTGTTCATCACACTAACTTATAAATGCCACTCAAAGAAGTTACAACATACACTATTTGTGTGATTACAGCTTGAATGTATGAAGTCGTACATACTGAACTAAGGGAGTGAACTATGTTCTGAATCAGTAGTTACAATCCAACCATTTTCTGATGTAATCTCCTGCTGAACTATATTCAAGACCCAAGTCTTCCGTTTCAGATTATTTTATTCATTAACAGTTGAAATAATGATTCAATGTAAATATGTATATGCTCATATTTGCTTCATATATGCTCTATGAATTGCTTATATTGTATTAATATTGTACTATAGTCCCGTGGCCTTGTGGGTACTGGAATAAAGATTGGTAACAGTTGAAACAAAGCAAATAACTATTTTTGTATGACGTCTTCAGAAAATGTAGACTCGAATATTCACAATATTCATGGGATCAGGGCTCCGTTTCACAAAGCTATGGTAGCGCTACGACTGTCATAAGTCTATGTTACAGTATAGGAGGTACGAGAGTCGTAGCGCTACGATACATCTCCAAGTTAAACACATTCTATGTTTTTACTTATCTAAAACGTTATAAACTGATACACTTTCAATTCAAAACAATTTTACACGTAACAGAGCACACTCTCACTATACTAGGCACAAGAAATAAGGGAACCCCCAAGTGGAATTCATAGTTGAAACAATGCTACATAAAAGTTGCAAGCTGATTGCATTCGCACCCTGATCGGAAATCACTTACGGCTTACATCACAGTCAGCACCATATTACCTTTACATGATACACGTGCATCATGCACCACACATGCATTCTGGGCTGTAAAACTGACAGTAAGCGTGTCCCAATATCTCTTGTGAAAATGCCACCGCGACAGTACCTGAAAACGCACAGAAAGGGTAGGCCATTGGCATGATGGAGGGTGGACAATCTCCGAATAGTGTTGCCCGGTTCTTCAGGAAGTCAAAAAGCCTTATTTCCCGTCTCATCAACCGTCAGACACTGGGCGTTAAAACGAGAACCGGTCGAGGAAGACGCCCTAAAACCATCCCCAAGACAAGACAACTTCCTGAGAACTATAGCTCTGAGGAATCGATTTGTCACAGCCCCGGATTTGAAGATGGAATTCTTCAGAGGCACAGGAACACTAATTTCGAACTTTACCGTACGAAACAGGCTCCGTAGCAGAGGTCTTTTCAAAGGCTAACCACAGACGTCTTCGTTATCAGTGGGCTCAGCAACGTCAGAGGTGGGGGAACCGGCAATGGCGACATGTAATGTTTAGTGATGAATCCCGCTTTTATTTGCGATTCACGGATGGACGATTGCGTGTGTGGCGACGCCGAGGAGAGCGTTATGTGAGACCCACGGTACAGGGACACGATTCTTATGGAGGCGGCTCTATTATGGTCTGGGGAGGAATTTCTTTCAATAGGAGGACTGATTTCATTCTTGTACGGGGTAATGATACAGGCCAGCGGTATATGGACGGGATCTTACGGCCACACGTGGTTCAAATGGCTCACAGGGCAGGTCGGAACCTTTAGGACGATAATGCACGTCCTCACAGAACTCGTGTTGCCGTGAACTTCTTGCAACAACAAGGTGTTACAACTTTGCCCGGCCGGCTAAATTACCAGATCTATCCCCTATCGAACATATGTTGGATGTGTTGGAGCGTCGAGTGCGTCTCAGTGACCCTGCACCAGCAAATCTTGATGTGTTAGGTAGAGCACTGCAGCAAGAATGGCACTTGATTCCAAGGGCGACAATTCAGCAGTTGGTGTCCAGCATGCCTGCAAGGTGTCGTGCATGTATTGCTGCTCATGGTGGACACGCTCGTTATTAAGTATCTCTGACATTCATACCGTACGGTTGTGCTATTTAAATTATACATACTTAATAAAGTCAAGGGGTTTCTTTATTTTTTGTGCCTAGTATAGTTCAGTGCAGAATCGGAAAATCCATTCCATTTTAGTTGCACCCATTAGCCGTTTCCTGGAATTCAGCGAGTGGACGAACCCAGAATTGGTTCGAAAGGCGTGTTCATTAACAGTACCGCCAGTGCTGAGCGCTGAGCGTACATGTTATACATGCAATATATAGGACCATGTTTCCTCCGTCCCCTAGTACTTCCAGACATGGTTACACATGACAAAGACCTTTGATAGGAAATGTCATATACTGGAGATGAGAGTACCGCATTTGCGATGCGAGTACCGCAAGTCTCTTATAGACGGAGGTACATGTATGATCATTGTGAAATCAGCTTCCTCCTCACTAAATTTCTTAATTTACACAGGTGCCTCCTTTTCAGAGGCTTTTTTTGTTCACTCCCGTTATGAAAAATGCGATGACTGACTAATATTGTTATACGAACACTTTGGCTATTGTCTCAGGAAGTGAATCATGTATGCTGTGTTGTGGGATCACGGAGCATGCAGTATACTGAAGTGTGCGGTGAAGATTTGGATAGGGAACTTAGACATTGTGGCAGCTATACCTGTAGTTAAATAACGACAAATCGATGTCACAATCGTGTATATAGTACAGCAGAGAGATATGGTAACCGCAGTTGATCTTTCTCATGTATATTTCTGTATGTTCTCTTCCTGAATTGCCCAGGGTTTTGTGCCAGAAGGCCGTGGTTCATGGGCCAGTCTGGTAATGTTCTCATCCGTTGGTGTATGACTCCAACTTCATGGGCCGAACCAGTCTGGCTTAGTGTTGCTAGATACATGCAGCTATTCGTGTCGTGTGTGTTTCAATATGACACCACTGTATCCCTGCTCTTGTTGGAAATCCGCTACCATGTCCCCGTTCTCACTCGATTGTGGTATGTTTATCTTTGCAACATGTTCCAACGCTTTCTGGTTCCTAACATCTCCAGAAAGACAATTAGAAACTGATCTTCCATATGAACATTTTGATTCCTAGTCTCAGTTCCTTGTAATAAAAAACAGTGACAAATTGTGTACACCCAATCCATCCGAACCTTACGCAAATTAATTGTATATGTTGTTTGGAGGTGAAGAACGTTAGTCGTTAACGGACTGGTCTCAATCCAGAGGAATTAGGACGGAGACCATTCTCCCACAATCTACTGTCTATCAACAAGTTTGCCCATACTGAGTTGTCTCGTTGTCTGTCTGACACGTCACAGAAAGAGATTAGGTCGTATTTAATGGTATTCACATCATTAGTTATTTACTGATCACTTGCAGAGATTGTTGTTTTGTAGGTCGACTTTGTCGTGCACTCTGTCAGTGATGTTGTTTCAGAAATCTGACAGATGGGCCAGCTCCATTAGGAGGACAGCTGTGCAAGGAATCGGGACGTGTTAGATCTTTACGTTACTTTTGACCACCACTCATGAAAGACACATCTTATGACACCACACACACTACAAGAACTCCTTACGAATTTATATTACGAATATCGCCCACAACTATTTACGTAGGTGAAGTTACGGAAAGAGCATCCAGGAGAATATATATCCTTTCACACTGATTGAAACAATCATGCCAATATTCTCTGTATTTTAAAGATCGCTGACGGCATTGTTGCGATGCCTGGAGGCTGTGACAGAAACAACGGACCCGGTGTGTGATGGCAGTAAGTTGACGGAGGATCTCATCACAGCCTCGAAATCACTTCACTCTGCCTTCTGCTCATCAGGTCAGCTTACATTCATGATGAATTTCTTCCACCCAAAGAGTGCTTATCACTTTTATTTACATATTATCTTTTTCTGTTTTATGTCAGTTGATGGAATATATTCTAATGATTTTAATGATATATGTTTTGTTTTCAGGTGTAGCAACGGAAATTTCTATCTTGAGTTGTCTCCTCCTGACTGTAGCCTCTCAGCTCGTTGTTACCCAGTGAGTAGGAAGGACATCTCCAGCTGGTTTATAGAGCGTTACTCCCACAGTTGCATCCGTTATGAAGACACAAATACTTAGTAACTATTCTCTCGCGCAGCTTGTAGGAATGATTGAGAAGAAGGTTTCTTTTTATGAGGATGAGTGCATGTACATGTATATCCGAAAAGGCTGTCGATGAAGGGTAACCACTCACTGTTAACTCTTGTTTCTCTTCAATGGTTTTATGTTTATGTTATATGAACAGAATTAAATGAACATGTTGACTGTATTCATGTGCAAACACAATTGTAGAATTTTGTTACCCATTGTTGTGTCCTGACTATTTCAGTATTTTGCGTACTGACTATTTCGGTCTATGGTGTGCTGACTATTTCAGTATTTTGCGTACTGGCTATTTCGGTCTATGGTGTCCTGACTATTTCAGTATTTTGCGTACTGGTTATTTCGGTCTATGTGTCCTGACTATTTCAGTATTTTGCGTACTGACTATTTCGGTATATGGTGTCCTGACTATTTCAGTATTTTGCGTACTGACTATTTCGGTATATGGTGTCCTGACTATTTCAGTATTAAGCGTATTGACTATTTCGGTCTACGGTGTCCTGACTATTTCAGTATTTTGCGTACTGACTATTTCGGTCTATGGTGTCCTGACTATTTCAGTATTTTGCGTATTGACTATTTCGGTCTATGGTGTCCTGACTATTTCATTATTTTGCGTATTGACTATTTCGGTCTATGGTGTCCTAACTATTTCAGTATTTTGCGTACTGACTATTTCGGGCTATGGTGTCCTGACTATTTCAGTATCCTGACAATGTCTTTGATTTCCAGGCCTTTCCCTTTGTTAACTCACTGGCTGTATCAGCTTACTGCCTAGCCAAGTATGTTAATCATGTTGTTATGTTGACAATGTATATACACACATCCCCTCCACTTAATATAACATTCCTTGACAATAATACAAAGGAATTTGTATCGAAACGTCGCACCGACTCTTTCGGTTTATTGTGTCCTGGCTATTCCGGTTTATTGTGTCCTGACTATTCCGGTTTATTGTGTCCTGACTATTCCGGTTTATTGTGTCCCGACTATTCCGGTTTATTGTGTCCCGACTATTCCGGTTTATTGTGTCCTGACTATTCCGGTTTATTGTGTCCTTACTATTCCGGTTTATTGTGTCTTGACTATTCCGGTTTATTATGACCCGACTCTTTCGGTTTATTGTGTCCTGACTATTCCGGTTTATTGTGACCTGACTATTCCGGTTTATTGTGTCCCGACTCTTTCGGTTTATTGTCTCTTGACTATTCCGGTTTATTGTGTCCTGACTTTTTCGGTTTATTGTGTCCTGGCTATTCCGGTTTATTGTGTCCTGACTATTCCGGTTTATTGTGTCCCGACTCTTTCGGTTTATTGTGTCCTGACTATTCCGGTTTATTGTGTCCTGACTATTCCGGTTTATTGTGACCGGACTCTTTCGGTTTATTGTGTCCTGACTATTCCGGTTGATTGTGTCTTGACTGTTCCGGTTTATTGTGACCCGACTCTTTCGGTTTATTGTGTCCTGACTATTCCGGTTTATTGTGTCCTGACTATTCCGGTTTATTGTGTCCCGACTATTCCGGTTAATTGTGTCCCGACTCTTTCGGTTTATTGTGTCCTGACTATTCCGGTTTATTGTGTCCTGACTATTTCGGTTGTATTGTGTCCCGACCTGAAAGTTTTTAATGGTTTGGTAACATGTGACAAACATCCAATTCGTTTTAGTCATATCGAATCTAAATATAATTTAACATGTGTTATATTTGCGATTACACTTACTCAGTAAAATGTTGATGCTAGTACTTCTGTTGGGTTGAGTCCCATCCGGGATTCGAACCCACACTCTCAAAGTCAGGCACCTAATCGCCAGCACACAAGTGGAAGTCGGACAACTGGTAGTCTTGACCACGGACTTTGTGTACCCCTTTGCTAAGTGTAAGTTGGTACGGCTCCCATTTGGCCACTTTCTAAAATGGCATTGTGTGTTCATAGCTTTCGGCCGCGTGAGCCGTGCCAACAAAAGTACTAGCATCTGTACTTTACTGAGAAAGTACAATCCAAAATATAACATGTACAACTCCAGTAAAAGTATGCTCAGTATTATTCGTTACGCTGTTATACTGAGTCTAACAAACCCTAGTAGATGGTCGTGTCAGCTAACCTTTTGAATTGACCAATCAGAACACAGCTTACCAAATGGCGAAGTTAACATTCGTACGTATTGACCAGTTGAACAGTTTTAAGACTAATACTGAGCCTAAGTTTACTTAGACTGGTGTAACGTGTATGTTACATTTTCCCACTTTCTAAAATGGCATTGTGTATTCACAAAATAAAGTTATGAAGCACATTGTACTAAAATCATACCGGCACAATTTACAGTTGAACTGACGATTGTACCCCATTATTATAATGGTGTGAGGGTAATATAGATATAATAATAGATTAATAACAGATGGAACATATGTGTCCAGCCTAACGAACATTAGAGGTCGACATAATTTGTATAAAGCGTGTTTGTCATGAAGGATAACTGTCCGTTTAGCTGCCACCAGTGGTCAATTACCGGGGATATGTAGACTAACGACCACGGTGCATGAACATAATCTTCCTTAATTGAGTAAATAATGTTTGTTTAGCTCACGTGATTATATCTCCAGGACGACGGATTTCATCTGAACAAAGACAATAATTCGCCTCTCTTGTGATGTCTTATGTTGTGTTTGGCTTCTTGCGCCGAGCTTTTGTCTGGAATGCGTCCGATCGAATTCGGCCACCCAGTGGTCACATTGTGAATAACATAAAGACGTCCCCCAGTGACATGACATGCCATTGTACACCACATAAGGTGTAATCAAGTGATTTTTGTTAGTCCTAATATATGATTTTGGTCACTGATTCAGACTTCAAACACACATTTTGTCTGTGAAAAGAACCAATAATGTAAACCAACCCTTTTCAGGACCTCAGTCCGGGGAACAGTGTTTTAGTGGAATAACCCTAATTACATTTGTTCCATATTTTGGTATAGAACAGATAATATATTTTACTAAACGATTCTTACCCAAGACAGTGTATACTGTTGTAGAATGATCACAGTTCCGGAACAGATTAGGGTTTACATTTGTAATACTCAAATAATCACAAACTGAGAGCACATTGCTTCCTTTTAGACGTTGATATGGAATGTCAAGGAATAAATGTTCTGTTTATTTTACTTTTAATATTAAAAACATACTGTTATTTACATGTAGCAATATCATCTTCTGGAGGTTTACAAGTTCTCAAGAAAGTGCAGAATAGCACTGTAGAAAAGGAAACAGGTGACATTTTAATTTGTTTGTTTCTTGTTTAACGCCGCACTCAGCAATATTCCAGCTATATGGCGGCGCTCTGTAAATAATCGTGTCTGGACCAGACAATCCAGTGATCAACAGCATAAGCATCGATATACGCAATTGGGATGCGATGACATGTGTCAACCAAGTCAGCGGGCCTGAGGTCCCGATCCCCGCCACTTACGACACGCATAAGTATTTAAAGTTAAGACACCTCGATCAGTATTTATGGCTATGTCCATCATCTGGAAAATACACGTGCCATGTCTGTACCCGTGTCCGACACTCATTCACCTC